TAAATGTCAGGCTGTCTGCTCCGCTGCAAATGCTTCAGTGCTTTATTCACCCAAACTCTTTTTGAAGGTCACTTTACTAAAACCAAATAACAGTAAGATTAATGTAGGGATTCTCATTTCGTAATGGTCTAGAAAGCTAATGATAATTTTATTGTTTGATGTTTTGTTATAGACAATGATTTTTTGGTGTTTTTTTATGAAGATCAGGGATTGGATTCTTTAATGAAAAACATATGCAGTAACTTAAGCTTAGTAAGCTAAGACTGTCTCTGTGTCCTACAAAACTATGCTAAATCCTTTGATTTATGTATGGTATTTTGAACCACGCAATACAATTATCTTACCCATTCTCGAGATACCAGAGAGAAAGAGAGAGAAAGGCTTTAGAGTTTATACATCAAATAAACTCAGATATTTTGCTTGCATGTATGAGCAAACCTTCACTCGTTGTGTTATTGTTAGGGAGATTTGAAAGCTTTCCTTCTAAGTGTGACAAAAATGTTAACTAATTACCACTGTAACCACACTCCATTCACTTGTCCGTGCTGCTTTTGCCATAAAGGCATAAACTCCTCATGACTGAAGACTTATGGTCTAACGTAGACTAAAGGTAGGGTCTGTGCAGGGTGTGAAAGCTCACTAACCATAATCATTATTGCACAGAAAATACAGTAGGATTATATTATGAGTTATCTTTTCAAATAGTTCATTAACCTGATGAAGAGGTGCATATGTATCAATGCAAATTTTTTTTCTGGCACAACTTCAGGATATTCACTTTAAAAGCTGTGCATGTGGCATGCCTAGCGTATATACATTTTTCTGATAAAATCTGGATGGATTCCACAGTTCAGTTTAATCTGTAGGATTTTTTTTTATTATTATTTTTTTCTGGCATAGAAAACCAAACCGATTTTTATGACATTACTTTCCCAAACGGAAATGCTTCCTCTTTTTGTCTCTATCAAAATATATGTAAGTAAGCGTTAAGTTTACTGATCTTTACAGAAAATTACAGATTACAGAAAATTGGTGCAGAAGAAAAAAATAAAAGAGTAAGTGACTTGAGTCAAAAATGTCTGAGGGAACAACAGTAAATATTCTGTAATTATTCAATGCAAAAAAAAGAAACCCTCTACCCAAGTCTTTAAAAATTGCAAATGCACCTATAATCAGAGCAGAATAAAAATGCTGACTGCAGTAGAAAATGCATGAAACCACAGTAGCCAAATTACTACACATCCAAACTTTAACTTCACTGGCAAAAGATTTCATCCCACAGAGTCCCATTTAGGAGCATGGCAGTGCCGTTTGTCACTTGTGTTATATTCCTCCTGATTTTTATGCATGGTCCAACGCTCATTAAAATCAATCAGACTTTCCCTGCTTACACCCACTTTGGCACAAATCATGTTTGAAGCTATCCCTGACAGGAATGACACCAGAGGGGGAAGGCATTTGCACTACCCACTCTGCATGTTTCTGTGTATTTTGCTGAACCTTAGGAAGCAAGGACTTTTTGTTGCTTCTGTCTACAAAGTTAATGTTCCTAACTATCTACACTCAGGAATAATGATAATAATAGTCTAATAAATCCTCCCTTACTGTGGTTCACATCTCAAGACTTCAGAGAAACTGGCGGGGGCTCTGGCCGAAACCTAGCAGAGCACTTAAAAGTGAAAATTAACAATGTGCTAAGGTTTTACTGAGGCAATATGACTTAGAAGATGCTTAAAATGAGGGGAGCACTTAACCACAGCTCTGCAAAGCGCTGTTGTGCCAAGGTGGAGAACATGGGTGCACAAGGCTACGCGCCGACTGCTCTGGTTCCTGCGAGCTCCCCTGTCATTTCAGGAGTGAAGGCTGGAGATCTGGGAGGAATAATTCACTGCTTGAGACCTTGCCTTTCAGGACACGTCACCGTGAGGGGCCTCGGCAGTGCCTGGCAGCCCGGCCATATTTCCACCGTGATGGCAGCATGGGCAGCATCGCCCCATCGCTGGAAGCCCTGGGCTATGTGATGCACCCAGTGCACCGCACTCAAACCTCTCTTTGATGTCTTTTTTTTTTTTTTTTTTTTTTTTCTTTTTTTTTCTCCTTTCTTTAAGTCCTGCTTTAGAACGTGGTAAATTTCTGATGTTTGAAAAGCAATTGTCACACGGCGGTGCATGTGAGAGGAAACAGCACAGACCACCCGAGTCCAATCCTTTATGTGGACATTTAATCTCCTCCACCAACATCAAAGCCCTCACTCTGACATCCAATTGCATTTCCTCATGTGAGGCTTCTAGTTTGCTCTCTCTCCCCTCTCCCCCCTACTCTTTCTCCAGCCATTTGGTCTGCTTAAGGCTACTACCCAAAGGGACGACATTTTTCTTTTTTTTTTTCCTTCCGCCTCCCCAAACGGCAACCACCCTGTATATTTACAGCAGTTTCAGACTGTTGCTTTCTTTTTGATTTTTTTCTCCTCCTCTCCCAGTCGGACATCACACAGCACGAGAAAAATGAACCCCTGGAGGGACACAGGGAGCTGGGGACTCCGTCCGGCTCCCCGGCTGGTGGGGCTGCGTGGGCAGCCCCGCTGTTTGTGTTTGGAGATACACCCACGCGCCCCGCGGTTGAAAGGCAGAGATGAAAAGCCTCCGAAATTGAAATGGGCTGGGCTTCAGCACTTCAAAAGCATCTCACTGCTTGCTTTTTGGGGTGGGGAGCTGCCGCGCCAGGCTGGGGGGAAGTCTGCCGCAGGGCCCCTGCACAGGACCAGGGATGGGGAGGACGTCATGATGCCCAGCAGCGCTGGCCAAAAGATTTCCACATTCAGAAATGGAGGGGATGTTTCCTTTGAAGAACCTCTTAAAAAAATCTAAATGTAGTTTCTGTTCACAAAAGGAATACTTTTCCACCTTTCAGTTTTAATGCACTGTCACTGTGCTGTGGCAATGTGCAATATCCAGGTATGTGAAATGGAAATGAAGCATCTTTCCTCATATTCACGTCTCATATCTGCAATGGGAGTAGCTGATAAAGTATGTGAGATACAGCAACATGGAATTCAATCTCCTAGGGTACGGCTTCCTCTTGCATGATATAAAACTCTTTGTGGCACTTGTGTTCCATAATTTCAAATGAAAAATAGACAGCATTGCACCTAGCTGGTTCATGCACACAAACTCAGACAAACACACATAACTTCTATGTATGCATGCACACACACACATATACATACATGAAAAGAAAGAGAGAAAAAGAGAAACCAAAGCCTCCGATAACACTGCAAAATTTCTACAAAGATTATGAAAAAAGAAATACTGTATAAGCCTGAGCTCCCCACTGGTTTCATATGAAGTGTAGCACTCAACAAAGAATGCAAGATATGGGTTTGATATTATAAAAACTTATGTATGAAAGCAAACTCAGAGAAATTACTCATGCCAGTAAATTACTTGCAGGCCCAGGAACTGGATGAATAAAAAACCAGACACTTTGCTACCACCACAACATCTGACTCTGGAGTTACAAACGCAAAGACCACTGTCCATCTCAGCAGTACAACATCATTTCACAGCCAGTGCTGCAATCTCAGGCATCACTTTTCCAGAGAAACTAGTGCTGTGTTAACCTGTTTGCTAACTACTGCAAACAGAAGTTTTCTCAGCTACAGGCTTCAAGCATTACTGTTGTGTGTATGCATATAAAGGCTGGATCCCTAAAAGGCAAACAGCAAATGTGGGACCTACTTTCCTTTTGATCTGTGCTCAGGATCAGAAAGAAGAGAAAATTTTGCCCTTGATACACCAAGTAGGAGAATGAATAACACATCAAGGAAAGTGCTTCTGAATTGTTTTTCCCCAACTGTGGCAATGCATGTGCTCAAATTCCTTTTGAAGTAAAATCAGAAAGCAGCTCTGGTGTGTGGTAAGGCAGCGGGTGCGCGCACTGGGCCACACCAGAGGCTGATCGGGGGCAGAGGTGGTTTTGCCTTTCCACGTCTCATGGTTGCAGAAAGCCACCCACGCCTGCCAGCACCCGCTCAGTCAGCACACTGAATGCAGACAGAAGTGCTGTAATTCCCTCATGTCACACCAGACCCGACGTGTAGTAATTCAGTCCCTGGTAAGAACGAGGCAGGAGGATGAAGAGCGGGGCAGGGACGCCAGCTGCAGCAGTGCTGATGGACACCGGCTCCCTCTGCACGCAAACAGTCCTATGAGTGTGCTAGGAAGGGTGTTCGTAATAAACTCTGTATGGATGCCTTTCATATCTCCCTAAAACGTGTTCAGTAGTCCTACCACTGAAAACTTCCCAATTATCAGCAAAAGCTAAGCTGCACTGTGTGCTTTGGCTTGGCCAAGAAAAATCCAACTTTACAAGTAGCCACCATTATTTCTAAAGGAGAGTTCACTCAAAATTGTAATACTTTAGAGAGGTAACGAAGTTGCTCCCAGGGGAAGAAAGTTGGTCTTCTCAGTGTCTGCGTGCAGCAGGATGCGGAAAAAGCAGGAAACACCCCCAATTCTCAAATCATGGATAAACTCTGAACGGAGCTGAAGATAATTTTTTTTTTCCAGTGAAAGATGGTATATCAGGGGAATGAACATTAATTCATGAATTTGAATAAAATTTGCTTACAGATTCAGACCAGAAAAATGGGGAAATTGTTTTGAAGTGGTTAATTTCATTTTGACATTTTCTAAATGGGATTTTTTAAATGTCACTAAGGTAATCTTAAAATGAATACTTTGACTCTTATTTTGATAATTTGTGTTTGTTTGTTTGTCTGAAGACATGTCTACATCAAAAAAAAAAGTTATAAAAGACTGGTAAACCAAACCCGAACTGAAACTTTTACATTCAGGTCAAACTAAAATATTTTTCACTACCTTAAACTAATATTTTTTAGGTTTTTCATTTTGCCACAATGTATTCAACGTATTCTCTCCTGTTTGCATTTTTTTTTTCTGACATGGAAGATAACCCCCAAATTCATAAGAGACCTTCACCTGTTGGGATGAATGCCTTCAGTGATGATACGGTTAAGTGAGGTGGAGAGTTCACAGCAGGTCTGGCTGTTTCCTCCTGCATCGTGTGACCTGGACCTTGAGAGGGGATGAGAAAAAACCCTGCCTTTAATCCTGCCCCATCCTCTCAATAAATCTATGCATGGTGTATCACTCAGCCAAGGAACTAGCCCCCTTAAGAGGAAGCATTATTAATTTATACCATAAATGAGTTTAAAGGCGTCAATATAAAGCTGAGGAATGACAGTGTGGCAGACAATATTTATGTACAACAGAACACTATGAGTTCACACTTATAATTTTGAACACATGGTCAAGATGTCTCCTTTAGTAACACAGACAGAATGTATTTATAAATATGACTTAAGTAAGACTGATGAATGAGGGAAACTATTCCATCTTTTATGGAAACAAAAATGCTCCTGCATTTTTCTGTTCTGACTTGGGACTACTCAGCCCCACCACCCCACAGCCACCTACAAAGATGCCTTCTAGGCAAGGGAAAGGGACATCAGTGATTTCACACATGTATAGTTTTGCAGGCATATGGTCTTTGGCTCTTTACGCCTCCCACTGTGGGGCTACCAGCACCTAGCTTTAATGCTGGGTTGGGCTGCACATGTTGTGACTGAAACAAAAATGATGAACATTTTTACTGTGTCCCATATATACACACTGCTCCAGTAGCTCTTTAACCTGGGAGGTGTAATGCTCTGTCTGTGCTGGCAGTAGCAAGTCAGGCTGGGCCGTAGCAGTAAGTCTGCAGACAGAAACCAGTGGTGCTGTAGGCCTGACAAACACACCACTTGTATTTCAGAGTACTCACTTGAGGCTAGACTTGAGGTTATCTGACCCCCTTGGAACCTGCTCTTCAGTTGTGCTTCAGCAGAAAGGGACCCAGCCCATGCTCAATGAGACCACCCCATGATATGCACCAGAGCATGGTGGGGGATGACAGAGAGATGCCCTTCAGACATGCAATCCTGATCACACTAAAATACCAACGAGGACTCACCCTTGCTCACCAGCAAACATTAGAGGGGATGAAAGCTGTCTTTTTGGGATCAAATCAGTTTTGCCCTTGGAACATTTTAAGCAAGTTGGAAGCCCCAGGTGCTGAGCACACCATCTGATTGACCATCACCTCTCCCTTAGGCCCTTGCTGCAACCCTAGTCACTGAAAGACAAATCCCTCTTTCTCCTGTTAGAGTACATACTTTGTATAAGCATTTGGAGGTCTTTCAGCTCATTGACAGTGCTTTCAGATGGGGAGCCACCCCACTTACACATCACCCCCTGAATGCGAAAGGCAGCCAGGATTTTACGCTGTCTCAAAATAACATGATATGACTTAAATGGAGGATTGATGTAAAACATTATGATGTGCTACATATTCAGTAATGGAAAACATCCTGGAAACTGATGAAGGAAAAGGTCATTCGCATACTGCTGAAATCCCTCAAGAATCTTAAGGCTGTGCTGGGTGCATTGATGGATATGCACTAATGACCATGCAAAGATGTGGTCTAAGGCTGACCACCAGCCCTCAGACCTTGCTGCAAAATTATTGACAGCTATATTGCTTATTCTTGTAGCGGTTAGGAAATGAAATGCCTTTCTCTAATCAAGTAATTGCATTAAGCAACTGCTGGGAACATTTTGCTGCTCTTGTTTAATAGTCTAGAAGTCAAGTGTATTTCATATTTGTTAACTGTCAGGAGTAGTTTTGTTCACATTTATTTTTGAACTAAAACAACACTGTTACTGCATCTGCCCTTTCAAGTAAAAGTTGTTTTTTTTTTTGAAGTCAACTAGTAAACACATGCAAGTGAAAAGTTTGGACAGTCTTCAGCAAGTCTGCAAGAAGGAACAGACAAAGGAAGTTCTGGGTAGAATTAAACACTGAACCAGTGAATCTGGAATAATAATAGCAATAATAATAATAATAATAATAAAAAAGATAGAAAAACAAACCAAAAGAAACAAGGCGGTTATAATTGAAGCCATGCAATTCCTGGCGGGCTTTGCACAGCCAAGAATTGTTATTGTCTCTCTTTCCTCCTCTGCCCACAGCCACTGGTGCAGTGGTTGCAGCACAGCTGACCGCTGTGGTTGGAAGGAGTCACGGCAGTGCTGCCCTTCTGGAGCACCGCCAGGGGACTTTTGGCCTCAACGAGACTGTGGGCTTGGGCGATGGATGTCAGTGTAACCAAGACGGAAGCCGCTGTCCTGCCCACGGCACCCCTGAGGCTCCCTTGAGCTGCAAAGCCCCATGCTGCACCTGCCTCGTGGTCAGCCCTCCCTGGGTTCCACCACTTCTGATCCTCTGCATTGCCACCAAAACCTTGAGGGTTATCTGTGAGCTGTCTGCTTCCATGAGGTGCCAGACACTAGAGTTAGCTCTTGGGTAACCCCAAAATCAAGACCAAAATACCCTCTTACATGTGAGACATCTGTGCTTCTCTATGGCTTGGGGTGGATGTTTCCAAAGTTTCCAAAGTTTCCCAGGCTGTCATGGGAATGTAAAATCCTGGGCACTGCTCCCAAGGTGGTCTGAGGCTCCTTTCCACCACTTCATCTCCCTGCTTGAGGTCAGTAACAGTGCAATTAGCCCCAAATGACATACAACAATATACTTGTCAAAGACAAGGGTGCAGAGATTTGTAGAGCAACACCAGCATCTTCTGCTGCCCTTAGGAATTCATCCAGCTCTAGCAGTGACCTACTTGGAGGCCTTTAGTTTGTAAAATGACTGAAAAGGCACACCACAGGGTAGTTGTTAGTCATTGGTATTATATGCTCAACTCATCATCAGGATTGTACATTCCTTTACAGATGTGACGTGAAGTAACTTCTGGCAATCAAAGTAGGAGCAGGATGAAGTTAGGATGCAAAATGGGAGCCAATAAAGACATTCAGAGACGTCATGACACTCGACTGCCCTTTCCACATTCCCTAGTGCACAATGCTGAGGCTTGACAGTGCTTCAACACAGTGGCCTTCATGCTGATACATGGGGAAAATTGGCACTGTGAGCTGGTCCTTTGACCAAATATCAAACCTGCAAAAGGCCTAAGTCATCACACAGAATGGACGAGGAAATATCTGCCAAAAGTACAAATAACCCAGAAGCCCTGCTGACAGTCCTTGCTTGTGTTCTTATCTCCTCACTGCATGAGTCTGTCTAATTTTCTCCAAGAGAGAAAGGCAAGAAAAAAAGTGTTTTGGGAACAATTAAAAAAATTACCCCATAGTCCCTACATTATTATTCTGCCTTCTAATTTAAACCCTGTGTTCTTCCTGAACTCCGTTTTCAGCACATATCTTGAGGGAGCCTTACAGCTTTTTAATTTTATTTTCTACTCAAGTATTCTACATTTGCTGGCTCTGATGTTTTCTTTTATGAAATTGCCCAGCTGCTCCAGTGTCCCTTCCACAGATCAAGATGCAGAATTTAAGGCTCAACTTGGAATGCGCAGTGAAAATGTAGTACAGCTGATCTTTGCTAAAAATACTCTTCCAATACACATTATTTAGTATGTGTTTTCTAAAGGTTGTTTGTTGTTGTTATTGTTGTCATTATTTTTAAGCTAAGTTTCTGTCCCGAGCAAGGAGTTATTTGGGAATTCTTATCCACCAAGGCAATTTGGTTTGTAAGGAGTCCAGCTGAACAATTGCTCCCATAAATTCACCAGCCAAGATGCAGTTTTGGGCAGTGGCACAGCTACACCCACAAAAACTTGTCTGCTCTATCCAACCGGATAGAGAGAAACATCTTTTGGAGCATTTTTCCTGGTCACAGCTGGGGAGCTTCTGTGTTTGCATTCAACATCTGAGGAGAAAAAATACCTACTTTGTTTTTCACCAAACTGTCAAATATGTCTTCTGCACTCAAAAGAACTCCCAAGACTCCTGGAGGTGAGATGGGGAGGAAAGTCACAGGTCTAAGAGCACAGTAAGTAGAATGACAATTCATATTATACTAAAAGTAATCGTGTAAAACTGATCATTTCCATAGCTCTCAGCCTGTGTGCTAAACATGCTACAGCTGGGGCTCAGCGATCAATTAAAACACTTACTCAGTCGCTGCTGGCCAACAATCGCCGGCTCCTGCAACTTTCTCCTGTGTGACTTTAAAGCCCTTTTGTGGCAATCATGTCAGGCTGATGGGTCTGGAGCAGCGGCCACCCAGCAGACAAAGCTGCAGGCAGACACTTCCCATGCTGGCAGGCAGCTTGCTGCAGAGGCGGGGGCTGTGGACGTTTGGTTGCTGCAGAATCCCGAGGGCTTTTCTAAAATGTGCTGGCGGCTAATTTCAAAATGGAGATTTCATATTTTTTGATGAAATTTAGGCAAAATCATGGAGGGAAATGCAGCCAATCCCATTACGTGGGCAACCATGAAGTATCTAATTCCACCCATGAAACCAACCATGAAATGTTCTTGCTGTGCTGTTCCTAGCAGAGAACAAAAGCTCTCTATTACTGCTTAAAAAACCACTCAGCTGAGTGAGTGCTCAGGTCTCAGCTTCTTGTATTATGGAGACGTTTGGCTTGCAAAGAAAGCTCATGGTCCTTTTAGCTTGTGTATCCTTGGGAGTACAAGCCTCTGTCTTTGTTACAAACAGCATAAGAAGAGACTCCTAGATGAAAAAGAGTTTCCTACACCATTTTTGTTTTTCAAGAGGGGATGATTGTGGAGAATGCTTACTACGCATTCAGTGATTCCAGTTTTGTAAAGACCGAGACATTTCTAAGAAAACATTCACAGCAAGTCCAGGAGCGTAAGCAAATCCACTGGCAGGGAAGTCGGAGAGCAGCTTATGCTGAAGGATGACAGGCAGAGAGGGATTTTGAGGAGAAGATGCAATTCCACAAGCCGAGCTCTGCTTCTAGCCCTTTTGCTAACAGCTGATTCCAGCTCCTTGGACCAACCAAGAAAGAGAGAAAGAAAAGATGAAAAGAGGAAATATAGGAAAAGGAAATGAAAAGAGCTTTATTAGTAAGGTTCTTCTCCTGCCTGACCCAATTATCAGATTTTGCATTTAAGTTTAAGACAGTAGATCAAACAACAAGAGC